TTTTCATCCCTTTCTCCATCTCTCTCGTTAATTTATTTAATTTTGAATTAAATCTAATCATATTCTTCTTTTCTCACAAATATTTTTTTCTTCAATTTACCAAATATTCTTTAATTCTTAGTCTTCTTCAATCTCAATCTAACGATAACATAATATGTTATTCTTTATTTTTTAATTTATTATTCAGAACAAAGCTCCATATCGTAATTTATACCCACGTTCGATTTTTTTGTTCTCTTGGTGTATTTAAGATGTTTTCTTAACAAAACAATGAAATTAATGTTTGAAAAAGTTTAATAAATTTTCTACAATATTAAATTCACTGTTTAAAGTAATTAAATATTTTTTTTTCAATCTCAATTTCTACCTTTATAATTGAGGCCCTTATGATTTATTTAATCTCACTTTCTAATTGAGACTCCTAAATTTTTTCGATCTCAATTATACATTTATAATTGATGCCCATATTTTTTATTCTTGATTTCTACCTTTATAATTAAAGCCCGTAATATTTTTACAATTTCATAAAATTCTCAATTTCTCATCCCTTTCTCCATCTCTCTCGTTAATTTATTTAATTTTGAATTAAATCTAATCATATTCTTCTTTTTTCACAAATATTTTTTTCTTCAATTTACCAAATATTCTTTAATTCTTAGTCCTCTTCAATCTCAATCTAACGATAACATAATATGTTATTCTTTATTTTTTAATTTATTATTCAGAACAAAGCTCCATATCGTAATTTATACGCACGTTCGATTTTTTTGTTCTCTTGGTCGTATTTAAGATGTTTTCTTAAAAAAACAATGAAATTAATGTTTGAAAAAGTTTAATAAATTTTCTACAATATTAAATTAATTGTTTAAAGTAATTAAATATTTTTTTTTCAATCTCAATTTCTACCTTTATAATTGAGGCCCTTATGGTTTATTTAATCTCACTTTCTAATTGAGACCCCTAAATTTTTTCAATCTCAATTATGCATTTATAATTGATGCCCCTATTTTTTATTCTTGTTTTCTACCATTATAATTAAAGCCCATAATTTTTTTTACAATTTCATAAAATTCTCAATTTCTCATCCCTTTCTTCATCTCTCTCGTTAATTTATTTAATTTTGAATTAAATCTAATCATATTCTTCTTTTTTCACAAATATTTTTTTCTTCAATTTACCAAATATTCTTTAATTCTTAGTCTTCTTCAATCTCAATCTAACGATAACCTAATATGTTATTCTTTATTTTTTAATTTATTATTCAGAACAAAGCTCCATATCGTAATTTATACGCACGTTCGATTTTTTTGTTCTCTTGGTCGTATTTAAGATGTTTTCTTAAAAAAACAATGAAATTAATGTTTGAAAAAGTTTAATAAATTTTCTACAATATTAAATTAATTGTTTAAAGTAATTAAATATTTTTTTTCAATCTCAATTTCTACCTTTATAATTGAGGCCCTTATGGTTTATTTAATCTCACTTTCTAATTGAGACCCCTAAATTTTTTCAATCTCAATTATGCATTTATAATTGATGCCCCTATTTTTTATTCTTGTTTTCTACCATTATAATTAAAGCCCATAATTTTTTTTACAATTTCATAAAATTCTCAATTTCTCATCCCTTTCTTCATCTCTCTCGTTAATTTATTTAATTTTGAATTAAATCTAATCATATTCTTCTTTTTTCACAAATATTTTTTTCTTCAATTTGCCAAATATTCTTTAATTCTTAGTCTTCTTCAATCTCAATCTAACGATAACCTAATATGTTATTCTTTAGTTTTTTAATTTATTATTCAGAACAAAGCTCCATATCGTAATTTATACGCACGTTCGATTTTTTTGTTCTCTTGGTCGTATTTAAGATGTTTTCTTAAAAAAACAATGAAATTAATGTTTGAAAAAGTTTAATAAATTTTCTACAATATTAAATTAATTGTTTAAAGTAATTAAATATTTTTTTTCAATCTCAATTTCTACCTTTATAATTGAGGCCCTTATGGTTTATTTAATCTCACTTTCTAATTGAGACCCCTAAATTTTTTCAATCTCAATTATGCATTTATAATTGATGCCCCTATTTTTTATTCTTGTTTTCTACCATTATAATTAAAGCCCATAATTTTTTTTACAATTTCATAAAATTCTCAATTTCTCATCCCTTTCTTCATCTCTCTCGTTAATTTATTTAATTTTGAATTAAATCTAATCATATTCTTCTTTTTTCACAAATATTTTTTTCTTCAATTTGCCAAATATTCTTTAATTCTTAGTCTTCTTCAATCTCAATCTAACGATAACCTAATATGTTATTCTTTAGTTTTTTAATTTATTATTCAGAACAAAGCTCCATATCGTAATTTATACGCACGTTCGATTTTTTTGTTCTCTTGGTCGTATTTAAGATGTTTTCTTAAAAAAACAATGAAATTAATGTTTGAAAAAGTTTAATAAATTTTCTACAATATTAAATTAATTGTTTAAAGTAATTAAATATTTTTTTTGTCAATCAGGGACTATTTTTATTTTAATTCAGGGTGCCGAAATTGTTCGAGAGGGTTCTGGGTGAATAAAGCCGTAAATAGTTGTTCCCGTAACTGGTTACTATTATATGAAAATTACCGTTAATAAAATTCCATTTTCCGTTGAAAGAGAAGTATTGTTTTGTTCCCCGCAAGTATAGAAAATAAGAATAAAAAAACATCTAAAACGGTTGAATAATTCCGTTGAAACTAAATCCCGTTAGCCAAAAGTGGAGGAGGGGACAGCCTCTGCTAAATGAAAATTGGGAAATTGCAACAGGAAGGCAGTAAATTAATTAATATAAATCAATGGGTATTGAGGAAGGTTAAATAAATTAAAAATTGAATTCAAAACGGGATCCGTTTAGGATATCCTATTGGAGTTTCTATTTATCTGTTATTTTCTGGGGAAAATGGATGACATGAAGAGCAAATGCAATGATATTAGGCAAATATTATCCAGACAAGGATGGAAGATCGTTGGACTGTGTAAGAGAGGATGGTACAACGTCAGAATGAAATTCAATTTGTAAAAACTTGTTATTTTCCTTTTGTTGCTCTATTTTGAAGTTTTGAGTTCGAGCAGTTGTATTTACAAGAATCAAATATTGTCAATAATTGAGAAAAATTATGAACATATACTACCTTGTATCTTGTACACAAGTCGGACTATTAAAAGAAGTTGTTGAACTCATTAAATGATCTCAATGATAAAACGGAGTATTATCTTTTTAAATGTTATGAATTCAAGTAATTGCATTTATAGGATGTGTATGTTATCAATAACTAAAAAAATATTATGAGCAAATCAATATTATAATCGGCCAAATCCTTGAAAAACATAAAAATTCTCAATTCAATATTTTTATTTTATAAATTACAGATTTAAAGATTTGTAAAATTTATGAATAATTTAAGTATTTGGTTTAATTAAAATAAATTTTATTAAATTTATTTATAAAATTGAATGAATTAACAAATTACAATAATATTGTATTTTCCCTCATAGCTACCATACGAATGACAAATCCTCAATTGAGTATCTGTTGGAAAAATTCGATAATTCTGGAGCTTTGAATGAGAAATTGATCCAATTTTAATACCCAAATTTGACTAGTGGCTAAAATGTAAATTTTGAAAGTTTTGTAGCCAAAGTATAAATTGGGAAAAATTAGGGACCTAAGTGATAATTTTCCCTAAAAGAATTTTTATTCCATAAATGGATAATTTACTCTTGAAAGTGGGATTTTATAGAAAAACAAATTTTTAATCTGGGATTTGTGTTAAAAGATTTAAAGTGATAAAGTTCGGTGTTGAAATAGGATAATCAGATCGAATCGAAATTTTACAAAAATTTGAAGAATGTTAGAAAATGGTTTGAAATATTATTTCATATTTTAGGTAAGATAAGTTTAGCTCAGATCAGTGTAATTTTGCAGATTTGATTGAATAGTGAAATTTTAGTGACTAAAATACAAGTTTTTAAAATTGCATGACCAAAATAGAAAGTCAAATCCAAGTTGATTCATCTTTGAAAAAGGAATATTTTAATGGAAGATAATGGAATGGCATTTGGTAATTATCAAGGTTCATTAATGGTAAAAATGAAATTTCTTAAGAATTGAATTTTAAATTCAATTTAATTAGTTATATGCCAAGTGTATTAATTAATAAATACTAGAATTATCAAGAGATGAAGCATATTTTTCAGCTATCCTTCTCCTCATGGCCGTAACATACAATTTACCAAGGTAAAAATTCTATTTTTGATTTTTTAAGCTTATATGATAGATTTTTAGATTAAGTTGTAAACTAGAGGATTAATCTGCATGAAATTCTCTATCATTTGGTACCAATATTTCATGGTGAAGATGCTTGTGTGTTGAGATTTGATGATTAGGATTTATGTGAAGTTTGGTGAGTTTGAAGAATTGATGAATAATTTTGATATTTTTGAGGTTGGAGATTAATTCTAAGTTTATCAAGTCGTGTGAAATTTGAAAAGTCTAAGAAAGTTTAGGATGAAATTGCAAGCTTTTGAATGTTTAAGTGTTGATTTGAATATTTTATTGAGATGCTAAAAATTTTATGTGATTAATGTGAAATGATCATAATGGTGAATGACCGTTATGGATTAAATAGGAAAGTTGATATGATTTCTAAAAAGAATTCATAATTAGTGGTAAGATTATGATATTAGTAAAAGTTGAAGAGTAATAGTGAAACTAAATATTCATGGAATTTAATGAATATTTTGAGAAGTTTGAAATTAGGATGGAAGTACGATTTAATTTTATATCGATTTTGTTTTTATCGAATTTTATATTTAAGTTTAAAATATGTTAACATATAGCTTGAATATTTTATGATGTTATATGACGTTGTCAGACTACGGTAAATTTAGTGATCCAAGTAACTCAAAAGGGAAGGAAAAGATGCGGAATTAGAAGATTATCGTGGAGAAGATTCGATAATGAGGCAAAGGTGAGTGCATTTAACTTGTGTTTATGTTATTGAATAAACATTGGTTTGCGATGAGCCAGTGTCGGAGTTACGTTAAGAAGTGACTCCTAATGTATTAGAAGTGTGATTCAAGCTTATATATTCATTTCGTAAGCTAACAAAATTAGTGAATAAATTAGATGCAAGTTGGTGAAATCTCCCTAGAAATTATGTTATGAACAGTAAGTTTAGAAAATTACTAAAAATTCTGCAAAAATAATTTAAGGATGAATACTATACTATTGAATTTGTATATCCGTCTAGTTTAGTTTAGAACAAACAAAAACTGATTTTGAGGTGTAGAAAAAATATATGAATTTTTAATCGATGATAGATCAAAAATAGGGCGGTAGATTCTGCTCAAAACAACTTCACTCAGTCAACTTTGAAAATTCACTATAAATTGTACAAGTGAAACTAGATGGAGTGCCTTACATGATTAGATTTGTATTCGAGTCTAGTTTTCATTGGTGCTGACAAAATAATTTTTCAGTATATAGGTTGCACGCAACCTAAAATTATAGCCTCACTCAGACAAGATACTTCTGCAAGACTTGCCGGAGGTACTGGACAGAGGGTGGATCTTTAAGGAATGTGCCGGTCGGAGGTGGTTCGAGGAAGAACAAAAGATCCACGATGATATTGACACCGTCTTTAGCTTCAACCAAAGTCTCGGATCTAAGTTCGACGAGCTTCCCTCACTTGTTTCCATCTCAAAAACCTAAGGCAACACCACTCCACAATGGCCAGGTTCTTAACCTGGTTTTCTCGGCTAACCAAGAGACTCATCATAGTTTGGGTTTGTCTCGTTATAACGACCAGCAAACCTACCACTCGCCTTCGGCTATGGAGCTCCTTAGGGCTGGGATGATGTCATCAAAGGGGTTGAATTCTTTCGTTCCGGCACCGACCCAAGACTCGACTGCGCTTTACTCGACTGGATTTTCCATGCAAGACTATAAACTGACACTCAATTTTCTGATCGATGGAGCTGAAAATAGGGCTGGTGTGGTCCATGGAGGTTAAGAGAATAATTGTGGAAGGTTTTCTCCCCTTTTGGAGAAATAAAACCGATTTCCAATCATACTGGAGTTGATGATCGGAACGAGTAACTAAGCAATTCAGATGGATATTGGTGTAATAATGGAGTAGTAGGTGGAGGATCACATCTTGAAAGCTAATGGTATGGTCAATTGTTAAGAGTTTTTTGAGTAGTTTGTTTACATTTAGAGTTTGCTGGGAGTTCAATTTCTTGCTGTCATTGGAAACAAAGTTTGTTCGTATTAGTTTCTTGTGGATGTGTTGCACGCTATTGCATTACTGGTTATTTTAGATTGTGTATCATCATGTTTTGTTGCTTCTATCTCAAAGTGTTATGGGACTTGAAAGCTTCATAGCCAAGAGTCCATAAAAAAGATATGTCAAGGAACATTGAAAAAGAGGGTGAAGAAGAAAGAAATGAAGGTGAATAAGAAGAACGAAAGGAAGCATCAGCACTTTCGATTCAAAGTGAACCGAATGAAGCATCGACACTTTCGATTCAAAGTGAACGAAAGGAAGCATCGGCACTTTCGATTCAAGTGAACGGAAGGAAGCATCAGCACTTTCGATTCAATTGTTCATCTTCTCAATTGTTCAGGGCTAAGATGTACGTGTTACCTTGTTGAAGGAGGAGGAGAAAGTAGAGGGAATATTAGAGCTAAGTAGCTAAGGTTTGTTAGAGCTGTTTGTAGTCAGTTAATGTAGTTAAGGGCTTTTGAGAGTTAGTTACTTAGTTCTAATACAATTCAAGTTTTCTCGAGTGAAACAAGATTATACCATAATAAAAGTGATGCCATCAGGAATAGTTTAGGAATGCACGATTGTTTTATAGTTAATCGTGGTGACGATTGTACTGGACTTATGTTATTATGGAATAATAATATCAACGTTGATTTGTTGTCTTACTCTTCGAACCATGTGGACGTTATTTTAACTTTTGCAAATGACCAATTTCATTTTACTGGTGTATATGGTCATCATAATGCAAAATATAAGCACTTTCTTTGGCGACTAATTGATGCTATCAAACAATCATCAAATCTACCATGGTTATTGGGTGGGGACTTAACGAAATAATTACAGATTTTGAAAAGGTAGGGGGTCGACGTAAACCGAGGATTCAACTTGATGAATTTCGAGCAGTCCTGGATCGAAATGAATTGTCCGATTGCCGACCATCTCGAGGATGGTTTACATGGTTTAGGGGTACTACTCAGGCTACAATGATAGCTGAACGTTTGGATAGATGTATAGCACTGACTGATTGGTTGATACAGTTCCCTCAGTTCAGAACATATTCAGAATACGCAGCGCAATCGGATCATTGTTTTATGGTCATGAATACAGAATCTGAACAACGTGAATAGTGGCAAGAACATGTGAGGGATTCATTTCTTTTTGAAGAGTGTTGGTCCAGTGACCGAACTTGTATCGCACAGGTGGAAAATACTTGGAACTATACGATAGGGACAACGTTGGGGAAGTTGAAGGCAGTCGGTGATGCATTGCGCCATTGGCAGAATGATAAATTTGCTAGGAATAAAAACTGAATTACGAAACTTAAAAAGGTAATCGATGATGGGCTAACTCGAAGTAACCGACGTATGAGCTGCAGCAAATTTGTGGGCTATTTGATGCTAATGAGAACTCGACCGAATCAAGAGATGGAGTATCTCGTGTAGTGGTGGAATATTTTACGCATTTGTTTGCAACGGAGAATATTGCACCAAGTGATACTATCATTAATGCAATTGGCAAGGTCATTACAAATGAGACGAACTTAGAATTGACCAAGGAATTTACAACGACTGAAGTCGTTTATGCTTTTCGTGACATCAATCCTGGTAAAGCACCTGGCATTGACGAATTACCCACATGTTTCTTTAGGCTTCATTCGTCATTGATTGGAGAAGATGTGGTACAACTATGTTTAGACCTTCTAAATGGGCGACAGGATATGCCTACGGTTAACAAGACTATCCTAGTTCTTATACCTAAGGTGGAGGAAGTCAAATATATGAGACACATTCGACTGATTAGCTTATGCAAGTAATTTATAAAATAGTGTCCAAAGTGATTGTTAATTGGTTGAAACCGGTCATGGCATTTTGTATAAGTGATAATCAAGTGACATTTTTACCAGAATGACGGATACCAGATAACATTCTCGTGGCACATGAACTATTCCACTACCTGAATTCTTCAAAGAATGGTATTAACAAGGTAGCATCGCTTAAGTTGGATAAGAAGGCATATGATAGAGTGGAATGGGCTTTCTTGCTGAGCATCATGTTAAAATTGGGTTTTCACAAAATTTTGTGGAGCTAATAATGACATGTGTTGTAACATCCCAAATAACGGGCTAGTGACCAAAGAGTAAGATTTTAAAACTTTGTGATTAAATTAGATAAATTAAAAAGTTCAGGTATTTAATTGAGAATTATTTGTGTAGGATTGATTAGCAAAGATTGAAAGATGGAAGGACTTAATGGTCTTTAGAAAAGAAATGAATTTAAAATTTCTTAGTGGTGTATTATAAACACGCAGAGAAGAAGAAAAGAAATCTAGAATTCTCTTCATCATTTCTTCCTTCTCTCCACCGTGAGTCTCTGAGCTAAGGTAAGAAATCCTCAAGTAATTTATTTATTGTAATTTTCGATTAGTTTTGATTCTTGAGGTATTAAGGAAGCTTGAGAAAGCTTAAACAGAAGTAGAAACTAAAAGATGGATAAGTTATTGGTAATTGAGTAAAAAGAGTTTTTAAGAGAATTGGTTAGAAATGGTTAGTAAATAGATTTTGAAGCTATATTTGACTTGTCATAAGCTAGAATGAGAAGATTAAGGTGTTGGAAAAGGATTTGAGATGTGTTGATTAATTGGTATGATTTTTAGTTTCAAGTGATTTAGTGGGATTTTGGATGTTTAGGTGTGTTAAAGTGATATAAGTTGGTTTTAATAAGAGTAGTTGAGTTTAATGGCATGAAAGGAGTTAAAAGTGTGGGGTTTAGTTAAGTTTTGATAAATTTTCGAATTGAAATAGGTAATTTCTGGGCATGGGTACTGGTATTGGATGAACAATACTGATACTCCAAAGCAAAAATAGGTGAAATATGGGTTTGGGTATCGACAATATCAATATCATAAGGTGATATTGTACGAATCAGAAGAACAAAATTGATACCGAATGAGTAGCATCTATACTAAAGGTATCGATACTAATGGACAAGTATCGGTACCATTTTTGGGAGACGAATTCCAGAATGTAGATTGGGTATCGATACTGAAGGATAGTATCGATACCATAGTGAGGAAGTATCGGTACTGGGCATAGAGTATCGGTACTATTCAGTTTGAAATTGTGAATAAGGTGTTTCGTTTAGCTTAAGTTATTGATGATTAATTAATAGTAATACGGACTCTCATATTCATTTCGATCTTATTATTGTGTAGATATTGAACGAATGCAAGTTCCGGACGATTAAATGTTATAAGATCGGCCAAGACTGATAATGATTTTGCTTTGACTAAGTGAGGCAAAAAGGTGAGTGCATACTACTATAATATATTATTATATGGAAAGAAGACTTGCGACGAGTCTATTTCCAATGTTTTGAATAAAACAATATTTTGAAAGTTCATTGAATGATTTGATTACATGTTTACATGAATAAAAATATAGTTTTGATTTTGATGCTACGCGTACATGTACTGTTTATATTTCACACTATGTGTTATTGATCTATGTGATTATATGAATATGTGATATAAGCTATGAGAAACATATATAAATGATAAAGCCCAAAGTATGTGATATGATAGCTAGAGATATAATTGACATGCCAAGAGTCGAGGGTTCTACGCGGTCATTCGGGACAATTCTACGTGGTCATTCGGGACATTTCTACGTGGTCCTTCGGGATATATCTATGTGGTCCTTCCAGATATTTCTACGTGGAACTTCGGTGCAATTCTATGTGGCAGATTCGACTGCAACCCAATGCACAACCTCAATGCACTCACATACCTTGAGTTCTCAGTAATATACCATGAGCTATTAAAAGAAATTGTATGAATGAACAGTGCATGATAATGTATGTTTTTGTTTTATGAAATGTACTACGATTTCTTTATACTATGATTTTATTTAAAAGACTAAGAATAAGATATAATGTTTTATTATGTACATTATGTCTCACTAAGTCAAAGACTTAGCGTGTGAGTGTTTCACACCTAGGTTCAAAGAAGTCAGGAGAACAAAGTTAGGACAAGTCAAGACAACATATCTCTACCGAAGATCAGATCTGAAACGATTTAAGTAGTATGTTCTTTTGTTACATTGAATTTTGTTGACATATAATTAAATGTTTAAATCATATATACTCTGATCAGTGTTGTAAACATACTCTATTGTATTTATGTAAATTATTGAGTTTTTATTTTCAAATTGAATTTGAATTTTCTCTATTTACTTTTGATTAAGGGTTCTACCATTGTGGTACAAATAAAGTTTAAATGTTTAACTATTTTTTTAAAAAGTAAATGATTTGAAAAGTCAATGTGACACATCGGATTTATATTCGAGTCGAGTAAATGACTCTTTGATCGAGAAATTCACACCGAGTAGAGGCATTTGGCAAGGGGACCCTTTAGCCCCTTCTTATTCCTCTTCGTAACACAAGCTTTATCAACTTTATTTCATCTAGCTCAGAGCTCTGGCCTTACAAAAGGTATACGAGCTTCCCAGAATAGACCGCGGGTATCTCATTTATAGTTTGCATATGATAGCTTTGTCTTCCTTAAAAATTCGACTTCGGAGGAACAACACATCAAGGATATTTTGTATCTGTATGCCATGTCATCTGGCCAACAGATAATTTATCAAAATCAGTCATTTATTTCAGTCCGCAATCGACAATGGAGCATCATGCTTTAATCAAGAACATATTTGGAAAACACGAAGTAAATACACTTGGACATTATTTAGGTTGACCGTTACATATAAGGAAGAATAAAACCCGTAAATTTGGATATCTACGGGATAAAGTTCTGACAAGGGTAACGGGATGGACAAAGAGATTGTTGTCATATGGAGGGCGTGAGGTTTTTCTTAAGGCCATAGCCCAAGCTTTGCCACAATATGCTATGTCTTGTTATTTACTTCTGGAACATCTTTTGAAAGAAATCACTGGGATTATGAGACGTTGGGATGGCCTCTTCTGGCTTGGACAAAAATTTGTAAACCTAAAAGAGTAGATGGTTTAGGTTTTTGGGACCTTAGATCCTTTAACCTAGCAAAGTTGGGGAAACAATTGTGGCGGCTAATCAAAGAACCCGATTCTTTGTTTACGAGTGTGTACCGGGCTAAATACTACCCAAATGGTGATATCCTACATGATAAATTAAAAGACATGAGCTCGTATGCTTGGAAAGAGATACATAAGACTTTACAAGAACTTTCACTAGCATTATTTTGGAGAGTGGGATGCAACAACAATACTAGACTGCTGTCAGACTCGTGAGGAGGTACGAAACGAGTGACACTTACAGGTACCTACAACATTTCGCAACTAAGGAATG